TAACTATCTTCAAACGAGGCTAGACTGGGCATTCTTGTCCTTCCTGTGTCAACCTCAAGCGATAGACCCAACGTAATACTGGGAAAATCCAGGCCAGAATACTTGATTGTAACCTTTGCGCCACGGTGCCAGAGGCTTACAGTTTTTCGACTTGGACCTCAAAGACTCGCATGTGATTGCAAAAGAAGCGCATGGATTAGCCTCAAGTACTAATTTTGTCCGGTGGGATCAGGCTAGACCGCCTGCAGCCTACAGCCTACCGTGATGAGGGATTAGCAATAGGCATGTTCATAGGTAGGATGTAGTTCCACGCTTCCGGCAGGGGTGAGGGCGGCAGGTCTGGCTGGCAAGAACTTTTTAGGCCAGCGGTTTTCTCCCCATCTACGTAACTGTTCGAATGACCATGCACTTATTCTTGGGGTAAGGGTGCGCCTGTTTTAGCATCGGACATTAAGATCCAAATTAAACTCTCCAAAGATATATGCATTCGAGTGAAAGGGTTTGTCTAGCGGATAATCGTACACTTTAGAGACAGATGGGGTATGGCTAACTCTGAATTTGATGGGAAAGTATCTCGAAGCGTAAGCATAATTACGAACAAACTGTATTTGTAGGAAAATGTTGATTCTGTCAGAATCAAGAGAGGCGGTTAGACGGCGCGCGCTACAAGACACAAAACTTGGAGTGCAATTCCCCGCATATGGGTCGATCACAGCTAGTTGCACTCGCACTTTGTTTGGGAAGAATGCTTTTTCGAACCTGCGAGTGCATTTTAGTTAAACATTTCGGAAGCCAAACACACACTTGACAGTTAATGAAAGCGTCTAACGTGGCATATGGGAAATATCTGACGATCAGGATTAAGTGCAGAGCTGAATACGGTTTTTCCATTTTGTTTGGAAATGTGGGCCGTAATCCTTAACATTCATCACGCATCGACGTAAAGCAGAGAGTAGGGAGACATGGGTTACGGCGGTAGTAATTACTGGTATATTTGGCGTTAACATCCATTCATCTCCAGAAGGCATGGGATCTAAACCCGGATGCTAGATACTCCATATGGATACTATATACCAGAAGGCGCTTTCTTTGCCCTAACGACTTATCCTGATGAAGACTGTGCATTCAACCAGCGGGTTAATCAACTACGTGCATCCGTCTCTTTCATCAGCACAACTCTACACCGCAACGGCCTGGATTCGAGGCTTGCTGCCTGTCGTGTCACCGGCAACTTCCCCTAGGTGTCGACGCGTTCGGCGTGATCAGCATGCACAGAAGTCGCTGGTTCGGACGTCGAAGTCCCTTCTGTTCCCATAATCCGCTGTCTACATGGTCGTCAAAGGCACGGGTGCAAATAACTACGAAATTTCAAGCGAGACAGCTTCACTTTACGCATTGGGTGCCGGATGCTGAGATTTTTCAGATCTTGCACCTGCTCTATTGAGGATGCAGGCTTCCATCAAAGTCTTTGTCCAAGGAATGTATTAAACAGCTCAACCTACCGTAGACAATATGAAATAGGTTAGTTAATGGGCAGAATTACTTGCTTCTAAGGGCCAAACATCTCGCATGGCGCATGCAAATGCGGTGAATGCCTGTTTGCACATGCATGCAAAAGGGCTCACGACACTTTCAGGCCATCCATGAGCTAGCTAACCGTCATTCCCGTGAACAGTCTGTTTTTTTTCAAAAAGCTTTTTTCTGCCTCCCGTTGAGAAAACTGTCTTTCGAGACACCACCATCTTGGAGTCGCGTCATTTAATCTCTGCCTTTCTTGTTGGATCCTTCTTTGCTAGTCCCATAGGCAAATTAATTGTTGATTCCTTCACTTCCTTATACTGTTAGAGAGCAATGGTCGTACCGTTTTGCTTCTCTCGGAGAGCCTGTCCGCTCATAAATTCGTAGACATCAGAGACAGCATCATATATGACTTCACTTGGCTGTTTTAGTTTTCATAAGGGTTTGCGAGAAGCAAGACCGTAGCTCAGAAAACACCGAAGTGAACTGAGGCCAGGAATTACTGACCATCCAAAATGCGGAAGACGGTGAAGAAATTGAATATTGGGAATTGTCTGAGGCCTGGAAATTTAAAAACTACCAAGTGGTCGGCGTTATTGGAATAGGTGCATATCGATGACTAAGTCTTCCTTTACACCGGGTACCTGTAATTTTACCAGGCAACTGTGCCTTCAACCAAATCCAACCCCCCCCCCCAACCTACGGACTACGAGGCTGTAAATAAGTCTCCGATTGGGGGAGGTAGTGTTTGCTCGTCCTTCTGCCGACGTCTCACAAGCTCCGCGTATTTGCCGACGTGGTATTAAGATGAGCTGCTACCACTAAGGGAAGAAAGAATTTGTGGAAATTCCTTATGAATTGATTGTTTATGATAATTCCATACGGAAATCACTTTCAGGTATTTGTTTAAAACGCGTCTTCAACAAAAACTCGGGATGATAAAGCACGTGGAGGAAATAAGGACGATGGAGTGAGCAAGAACGTAGGGTTAGACACGTGAACAAGAATCCACGCTCTACAGGTAGTCTTGCGTTGACATTCACGGGATACCTGTCACGGTGTCCTAACTTTAACCCCAACCCTAATACTAACGATGACCCCGACTATAAGCCCCCGTAAACCTAACACTAGCATTATCCGCTGGAATTTAGCGCAAGACCACCTGTAATGCGGATGGTCCATATTCAGCCGCCTTATAGAACATAATTCATCCGGGGGATTAGAGGCGTGTGGATGACCCTAACCACTGAAATTTCTAGGCGCGGTCTCCCAATCTCTTCGTTCGTTTGTGCAACGGATCGCCTTTTTGAGAGCCTACCAACTTCCGAGCCTGTAACTTTGTGTAGTTTATAGCTTTTCTCCAAATAAAAAAACGTCAACAACATTAGCTAATTAGTCTTCTGTTTTATATTTTCACAAGCATTAGTATTTTTTTATAATTTTGAGAACCCCCGATCCTCCTGAGACCAGTCCAAAATCAAAGTGAATTTAACTGCAGGTCCGAAAATTGTATCACTTGTCAGAGTCATGCAGTTAAGCAGGGGGGGGGGTGAGACTAACAGAAGATTTGAAGGTTCGGTCTTAGCTACTGATTGTTGAATGAGTTCGAGGAGATAACTCAAAATGGATGCATAGTCTCCAACAGGCCGAAGAAAGTAGCGAAGACCTCAATGAATGAGCGGAAGGAGCGCAGACGGGGAGCAGCAGCAGTACAAAATAGAGGTCAAGCCACGAAACGGAAATCACGTAGGCCGAATTAACCCAATCACAAGGCGGAAATGGTCCCGTAAAACCGCAGATATGGGGAAGAAGTCTGCAGGGTAAGATGTGGTTTGGTGGCCCCACCTGACGGACAAAATACTGTTGGGTTTGGGGTTAAGAGTTAGGGTTAGGGGTTAGCGCAACTATTTCTCAACCATTCTAAATACAATCGCACATTCCCAATAGCTTTTCTTTCGCATGAAACTACTTGCGCTCGTCGCCTGTGCGTTCCCCGGTCCCACCTGCAAAAACCCCTATTACCACTGGTTCTGTATTAAAGGTGACTGGGGTTCGTTTACTTTATGTGGGACTGCATAAACGCATCCGACAGTCTGCAGTTATGACTCTTCTAAAAAATGCGTGAACTATTAGTATAAACTGGGTTTTCTTTGCTCAAACCTAGTCTACTTGCCGAATTTTGCAAGTTGTACTTTTCGTTCAAATGCTTGGCAGTGCCAACAAACGAGGGGAGCTTGGGCCATCGAACAAAAACCGCCTTTATGAGGTAAAAACTGGACTCTTGAAGTCTCCAAATTTTTGGTTCGGTATCTGTGTTTATAAGTGTGTAAATCTGTTCCAACGGCAGGTCAGGTATATTTTGAAAAAACAGGAGCTACTTTAATTGAGCCACAAGACTACTTAGACCCACTTCCGAGCGACCAAACCTCACTCGACCTTCCCATAATGGAATTAGTGATAGTGTCATGAGATGAGAAGCTCAAGAGGTGCTTGCAACGAGAAAAGCCGTCTGCAGCTGCAGTCTCTGCACTCTGTAATCCTACCCCTACCATCTATTCCTAAACGGCAGTGAACTGTAATTCGAAGTAAGGCTTTGTGAAGCATGCTTATTGGTTAACATTCAGCAAGATTACTTTAGAGATGCGACTACTTTGCACCCTCCAAGCCTCTCATTTTAGGTAAGTCGTAGGATTTTAGGTACCGTTTAGCCTAATGCTTTCTTTCAGGCTTCATGGGTATTAAAGAAAAGACATCCCGATTTCTTGAAGGACTCGCAGGGGCCTGATTTGTGGTCTTCCATGCCAAAATATAGTTCATGTGCTAAGTGGTGAAAGACTTATAACTTTCCAATCAGATTCATTGCCTCGCATCATTGTTACCATGGCCCCGCCTCTGTAGACAGTACTGATGACTGGGTTTATTGACTCGTAAACACGGCTGCCGGTCGCCAGGGTCTCCATTACCACTTTGAAATGGGGTGAATGAGTCATCCTCGAACCCCGACTGCACGGCTGAATCTCTGCCTGTTTGCTTGTGTTTGGCTGCGTGTAAGTGTCGTTATTTAGTCTGCTGGAGAGACCATGTCATCGGGCCACCAACACTGTGACCAATCCGCGCGTTGTCAGGTCAGACGCGAATTTAAGGGATTTGACTGGTCAATTCAATTGACCATTGGAGTCTGCTACTGATGCTGCTATTTACCGTGTCTAGGCTGGGGGAGGGGTGGGGGGGTGGGGGGAGGCGGTTGGCGTCAGGCCTTCGCATTGGCGTGGGAGCAGGGGCCCGCTGCCTGTCCGGGTGGTGGGGGCTACCATTACTGTCAAAGCCACCAACACCGGAGCCAGTGGGTTAGCGTTTTGCGCGCAAACGTGCTCGCGCGTGACCGTTTGATCCCGGGGTCGGCTAATTTCACTTCGCTCACTGATCACCTGGACGCCGGAGGCGTTATACCCCACACCGCCTCGGCAACACAATAACTTCATATGGGTCAACTGCTAGCAGAAGAATTGGAACATCGACTACACTTGGGTGCCGGTACTGACTGGTTCGACGAGCAGCATCTCAACAAAGCCTGCTCTGGTGTCCAGCGACGCATCTTGCATGTCTCGCACCCACCGGCCGGTGACTCGGGCTACCCATCGTCAGTTGGAAGCCACTCGCCGAACGAGCAGGTAAGGGTTGTTTACGACGTCTGGTATACATAGCATTGGCACACAGACGATTGTTTGTTGTTCGGCCTTAAACGCCCGCGCCCTCCTTACACACACAGAGGCAGGCTTGATGTTGACCATAACTGATTGGAGCCTATTTGTGTATCAAAATCAACACTTTTTTCAATCTTGAAATGGTTGCAGCCAATTCCAGCCGGGACTTTGCTCTCTGATAAATTTAACATAGCAGATTAAAGCACTTAAATAAGTAACATTCAGGTACGACAATACATACCAAGTGACTTCGTCGGTGAGATCTCCCAGAGTTTTCGAAATTAATTACTATTTTTCCGTAAATGAGTATGCCTTTTTCACAGAAGTTTATCATATTCAGCTAAATAATCTGCTAAAATTACAGTACTGGTTGTGAAAAGTCGTTTTCCAAAGACCCAAGTTTATGCTGAGGCCAATTGATTTTTAAATTGAGATCATCAGTCTCTGTATGTGGGCAATGGACAGTTCCAGAGAACTGCGTGTAATATTTTAAAGTTGTCTATTTTTGAGAAAGTCAGGTCATCGCCAGAATAGACTCTCGAATCCAGTTTTAATGACATTTTAGATAGCCATAACATTTCACTTGTAAACTAGAATTCCGGCGTTTTTTTCCATCTTAAGCCCTTACTCCAGCCAATCTCGCTGGCTACCAACATCACCCTTTAGTATTTATGTCTAGAGGATATGTCTGATGCTATCCGACAAGTGAATGCAAACCCCATGCATGATTCAGTCCTGGCCCTAAAGTGGCATAAAACCATCTAGTACTGTTAAAATCTGGGAGCAAATTTACCTAGTTCACCTTAGAGCATATGGCAATGACCGTGGTTAACGCACGTACAGTATAACACATGCCTCAGTACACCATCTTTGGTAAGTTACAGGACTAACCCTCAAAAATTTACTTTCCTTTGGATGACCAGATTTCTCGCAGGCCCACCCCGGAACCTATGTGCGCATCTTGTCTGTTGTCAAGTTGCCGAAGCGCATATCAAACCTCACACCAGTCTACAAACCTTGGACATTTTTCGACCGTGACCAGGCGTGTCCCAGGGCGTTGTGAATCGTTGCAGCAGCCGATAAGTATCGGCAGTGGGTCTGATCGCAGAGGGCGAATCATTCGGGGAAGACCCGTAGAAGAGGTTTGCAGTAGGTATCAAACCACAGACGCCTTCTTTAGTCGGGCCACCATGACCATCGCAAATCGACTCCAAGCACAGAATCAAACCATTTCTTCGATGACGGATCTTAACGTCTCTGCAGGGCCTCAGTGGGATCCGGTGGTACAGAATCGGTTTGAACAGTTGTCGCGTGTACGTCAAGAGTCAGGTCCTAACAGTACCCTACCCTATCCTGTAACTGGCCGTCTTCCCTACCCTCTTGTGGATCAAGATACTCCCGACCTATGGAAATGTGGATTTGAAGGCCGGACCCAGAATCAACTCAGAGAAACACCAAGGGTAAGTTCATTGCCACTGAATAACTTTACTCTTTGTCACTGTTTAAGTCATCAGGACGCAGATTGTTGTCGAAGGCCTTTGTGTGTGGTGCAAAACATCTTATCACTGCATCATTGTTCGACCAGCATAAGGAAGTCGTGACAGTACTATTTTTATTTAACACGATCCTCTCACGAGGTCGCTGCGACACGAGTCATGTGTTTATTTCCGCGAGTGGCGCGCCCTGTGTACAGTGGTCGCTGAGTAACTGACTTAAGGCAACGAGTTTATTAAACTCGTTGCCTTAAGTCAGTTACTCAGCGACCTCACTCTGACAAATTTTGCCAGTTGACCTTACCTAGTGACTATAAATGAAGCTCCAACATAGCTTTACCATGTGGACAGGTTGAGACTAAATGTTTACCGTCGCTATCGGTTGCTCAATGAGTTAAATTTCATAGCTACGTGTGGTGTTCTTACGTTGTCGTTCACCAGCGTTATTGCTCTTTTGTCTGACTGACCTGGAGGCGGCGGCGACCAGTAGGCGGCTCTGCGTTAAGATGCCGGCGGTATGTCGAGGCGGACAGGCCACTCCCTCCCTCCCCCTCACGCCGCCCTTAGTCGGTTACGCAATCTGACGTCTTCAGTTGATATCCGAGCTTGCAAACCGATCTTGTTGTCATGCGGGCTCGGGCGTGCACACCCCTCCTGTCCGCTGCTGTCATCGGCCTATAAAACAAGTCCAGGGACACGCACGGGTGTCAACAAGTTGACAAATTTCCACCTGCGTGGTGACGCGGGTCAACATCTGGATTGCTCAGACCAATGCCTCAGAAGTGGGTGGATGACTGATGGAAGCGGGGCATCTTTAAATAGCGAATGCCAGCTGATTGGCACTCATTGTTGGGCAAAGTAAGAAATAAGTTTTATATCCACACTTGTAGGAAGATGCTAGGCAATACCGTCCTCAATATCCTGTACTGCATGACCATTGCTTGCGCACTGCCTTCCCTAATGACCCATTAAGCCAATTGGGATAAAACAGAATTCTCCTTTGGGATCGCGACTCTCATGATAACTGACGTCGGCAGCTTTCACATCTTCTTTTTGTAGGCCGTAACGAAGCAAGACCTCGCTATTCAATGGGCCATCTCTAAGAATATTCGCTACAAAACTAAAACCTGTTTGCACTGGGAGAAACTAGGAACTTGTCCTGCCGGCAGACACTGTCAGTTTGCACACGGGGCTTCCGATCTGCGACAAGCAAAGGACCATCCCAAATTCAGGACTCAACTCTGTGTCCACTTTGCCTCAACAGGCTGCTGTCCGTACGAGGATACTTGCTTCTTCAAGCATCTCAACATGAACCATTGGCCACGTGATCTCCCAAGTTCAATGTGAAGGAGAGACTGCATTACGGAAGTTTTTATTCTCGACGGTTTACATTGCATTCCAGGGTATTTTCCTCGACCTCATACACATCTGCTCAAAACAACATTTTAATTCCTCCTCACGTTTATCCACTTTAATTATTCTACACCGCTTTTTAATAAACAGATACAAATTTATGCTTATACGGTACACGAAAACATGAAAAATGAAACCGAAATATAGTTGTTCACTCTGACGATGTATTTCAGAAACTCGAACAAATAAATGTTTTTAATTCCTTTTCGGTACGGCAGTCTTGTTTATAACAGGCGACCGCTTCGAAAAAAGTCTAGTTAGTTTTCACGCCGAGGAGTCCGCAATCTGATCTGATCAAGGCCGCCAATAACGCTAAGCTTAGTTATCCGGGCTACGAGAGCCCATGAAGTGGTGCATATCGGTTTTTCAATATTGCAGTAGGTCGATGACCAACCGAAATTCACAGTAAAAACTTATTCCTCAAACTGGGAAACCTGTATACTTCAGAATCCTTCTCTGGGCTACCTGTCCTACACACAGAAATGTTGGCGTCATTTCTTGGATCCGCAGTTATTTCCGCGTAAACGGACTGGCAGCTAAAATCTACAAAAAAAACCTGGTTGACTGTAGTAGTACACCGAGTGTGCCGCGCAGGACTGAAGCAACTCCGTCTTGCTTCCTTTCTTCAGGAGGCGAAAGAAATTTAATGCCACAGCTGCTATGAAGAGATCGCTTCTGGCCTACATCTGAACCGACTTTGGCCAAGAGAAAGCTGGGACTAATTTTGTTTTTTGGTTCCTCTTTCTTTGCTTCGCTGCAGGGCAGGCAAAGTGCCACCCGGAAAGCAATAATTTTAACTTAATGCACTGGCTGAGATGAGCGTTACTACTAGTGGCTGACAAGCCGGAAGATTTTTAGGCGAAACTGGCATATGCTGATTGGCGTGCCTAGCCTACCTTCATGCAAAATGCAATTCGATTACCGCCTATGTCATCTAGGACAGGGCAAAGCACCTTTTGAAGTACTTTCCGATGACTCGGCACCAATACAGATTTTGCCGATTCTGAATGACCCTAGGTTATGAACTTGGGGCGTAGAGTTACGTAGGAACTACGGCGATCCAGATCGGGTCAGGAGCCTCTTGCCTTTCTGATTGGAATTGTACATCTTTTTACTTTCACGTGGAGACGTTCGCAAGGCGCCACGGCTTTTGAGTAGCAGCCACTAAACGATCGTATTTGCCACGTTGACTTGTCAGGAAGATAAAGACGACATGGCGAGTAGGACTCGACAGTGGGTGTGATGTTTTTCTTAACTTGTTCGTTGCTGAAACCAACTTTAGAAATTCTCCCCTGCCTGAACAAAATGAGAAAATGCGCATACAAGTACTCCAGCATGTTCGTAAACAGCGAAGAAAGTGTCGTGATGAAAAGTACGGGAACTTTCAACTATTCATTCTTAGGCAGACAGCAGGTCCTCGACTGGAGGATTCAGCGTTTCAAACAGTTACCAAATTAAGGGGCTTCGACATTTATGTGACTTTCTTATGTTGTGTCGAAAATGCACAAGCTTCTTCTTCCATTCTGCAGTTATAAGTCTCGTGTTTTACTGATGTGCAGCTATAATGGATTAAAGCAGTTCCTACGGGTCTTTACCTAGTGTTAACTTTTCCTACTACGGATCGAATCGTTATCCAACAGACTTGAAGCACGTGCATTCAGATGTCTTCTGGCGTATTGCATTTGTAGTTAGCGTTGACATCTTTCACTTTTGCGACTTCACATGAAGACACCCCTAGCATCCTTCGTGCCTTTGACACGCGGGAATGATTGGCCAACACCGCGTAGCATCTGTGGTGTTTCAGCCACATTTTAGTGAGGGCTTCTTGCTATGCAATGTAGTCTACGACTTCCCCCGAGCCGTCTCTCAAGCATTACTTTACGAATTTCGCAGAGCCAGCAAGGCAGGTACAATGGTCATTATTGTAACAACGAGGCAGAATTAAGAGGCAGTTCGTCGTTTTATATCACGCAACGTGTACTGATGATGGATGATAAGCTCAAAATAGGCAGTTAATTTGGTTAGCGTTTGCAAAGAGCAGACTACTAATTACAGTTTATATTTGTAATATGCACATAGTCTCAAGAAATAAAGCCAAAGTCATCGACGAAGAAAACTGGCAGCATTCTCGTAACACGCCCAAATCGTGACCCCTTTTTAGGCTACTTTCCAGTCCATTCAGCTACAGAGATAGTTGGTGGAAGACCATCCACACTAGTCGACAGAGGTGCTACAGCAACTGCACCCCACCAATGTTGCAATCTTGTCCATGTATTACATTGATTTGTTTCTTCCTATGATAAAGAGATCGAGTACGAGTCCGAATCGTCCGACAGATACAATGCTCTTGAGAGAGAGAGAGAGAGGAATGCGCTTTATTTTGAAATCCTATGTTCAAAATTTTCAGCAAAAAGTTGGCTTCATTCACTATGGGCAGTAAATAAGTTAATAGATTATTCAAGAGTCAAAGTTTAACACAAAGAAACGATTATTATGGGGATAGTTCAAGTCTTAGCTTCTGTATTTCTGTCTCTTCGCACGTAAGATAGCGCGCTAGGAATGGCAATACAGAAGCTCGGTAAGCCGATGTGCGAGAGGATATAAGACGGAAGTTGCGGCGCATCAGGCGGGAAGACTTGGTAGACATAAGATCGGAATGTAGGGGATGGGCAACGTCATCTAGAATTCGACCAGCAATTGCTTGACCGCATTGAAGTGTCGTTGTAAGATAGTGTCAACTAAAAAAATATAAGAAACGCCAGCAGCAGAAGAGAGCATGCGGAGGATTCGTTTCAAAATTAAAAGATCCTTTTTTTAACAAAGCAGGAAAAATGACAGGAGAACAGTATAGGATAAGAGGAAGAATGCAGGCATCAATGAATCGCCAGACTAAGGGTTGAGGTGTGTGGTAGGAACGTAAACGAAGAATGTAGTAAAGAAGTTTACGAACTTTAATAAATAGGGACTCAATATGGAGGGAAAAAGAAAGATTTGAAGACAAAGTAACGCCGAGATACCTGAAAGAGGATACTTCGTTAGGAAGAATGTCAGAGGAATCAGGGTTAGGAGAGGGCCGCAGTCGAAAAATACACTGAACGGATTTTTAGTTGTTAATTAGGAGACCATTTTCCTCCGACCACGCTAGGACATGGTTTAGGCCATCCTTTAGAGACCGGAGGTGTGTCTGACTTTTGAGAGCGTGTCCAACAACCACATCGTCAGCATACTTGACCAGCAGACAGTCATTAGGGGACCTGAGATCATCAGTATGGAGGGAGAAAAGGTGAGGGGAACCTTGAAGAACACCGCAGTCATTGGGGAGGTAAGATGTGGTTTGGTAGCCCTACCTGATGGACACAATACTGTTGGGGCTGAGGTTAAAGGTTAGGGTTAGCGGTTGGGGTTTATTATAAGGGACTATAGTTAGGGATTAGGGGTTAGCGCAACTATTTATCAATCACTGAAAGTACAACCGCGCACACTTAATAGCTTTTCTTTTACATACAACTACTTGACCTTGTCGCCTGTGCGTATCCGGCTCCATCTGTAAAAACCCTATTACCGCCGGTCCCGTATTAGAGGTGAATGGGGTTTGTTTACCTCAGGTGGGGCAACCAAACCACATCCGACCCAATGCTCGCCCCAGTGAGCACAGCTGCTTAATCTCAACGGTCACTATCTCTTGGCATGCAGGGCGATAAGTACCGAGTCCTGGCATCTTTTTGAAACTTCTCTTCATGTTTGTTGGCAATTCTCAAAAGGCAGCCCAGCCGACACCCAATGTGACAACAACGACCACTTACCTCTGGTGGTCTTTATTTCCGACTGGCACAGCTAAGTTTCCCTCCTCAGAGCGCCTTCCTATTCAGGCGTCTTCCAGTCAGTATGCCAGGACTAGGTCTAGCCATGATTCAGTGGTTAGAAATCGCCACCAAATTAAGGCTCCTATCGACATGATTGTCCTGTCGGTGTCTGTATTATTCCCTGCCACACAAGACGGCAAGAAACTGGGTTCTCTCTGCATGTCTGTCTGTTAGGATTGACTTCGCGGTTGTCTATACGCCGGTCTGACAATTTCCCTCGTGCATTCCTCGCACACTCACTGCAGCGCCCCTTAAACAAGGTCAAGCGGACTAAATCGCGCGGCCTAGTCTTGTCTGCGCCCACTTGGCCTCCATTGTGGTACTGTCCAAGGCCATCTCGGGATGCCGTTAGACATGGTCAGCTCAAGACCGACGCATTTTGTCCTCTGGGGGGTGGGTTGTCGTCCACCCTAAAGTACACCGCACTGCAGCCGCGTGCATTAGGCTCGGACAGGAACCTACCGCGAAGTGTGTGGATATCGGGTCTATTCCGTCTACAGTCCACAGCACAGATCGCTCCTGAGTCGTCCTTCACCCAATCGGTTCTGATAATCAACTCTGAAAAGAGTCCATTTAGTCACTTAAATATGTTTGGTATGTGACCTACTTAAGATCTTGAACGTGGACCGCGGCACGGACAGTGAGTGAATAAGTAAAATTTCTATTCCGAGATCCCACATCATGACAGTTGACCTTCATCGGGCACTGGAACTTGTGTTTTGATGTTTAAACTAGTAAAATTCAGCTACTTATCTTCCTTCATTTGGAATTTTGGACGACAAAAGCATAC